TGTAAAGCTGAGGTTGTCTTGACCTGTTTTGTCTGATAAAGATTATAAAAACACTTCCTGCCTCACTGTCCGGCGCAGATTCTCACTGACGAGGCTCTAATCTTGTAACTTTGTACAGCTGTGAAATAGGGGTTGCACAACTACATATTTTTTAAAGTCAACTTCAACGTGTTAGAAGTCGAGTCGACGTCGACTAGTCGCTGTGACGTCATAGGAACTCAAGGCGCAATAAAATGTTCACAAAACAAAACTTCGTTTATTATTTACACAAAAAAAAGAACAAAAAAAAAAACATTGGGAGCGTATATTTATACTCCTACCATTTATCATACTGCAAAAAAAGTCACAGGAAAACCAAAACTATTATTAAGCTACAAAAGTGAAAGAAACATAACCATCAAATAAAACTAAAAACAGTGGGGTGGGCGATGGTGGAATCCACCTTATAATATTATAGTTATTAACGGTCATCGGCCGAGCGCGTACGCTGACGCAGCAGCTAGTAAGCTTCAGGTGGGTCACTGGCAGTCATCCATCTGGACTCTTTTGTACCTCTTTTAACCGGCCGGTCAGTGTGCAGTCAAACAGCCACAAGCGACTGGTGGTGATCCAAATTGGATGGTCAGCCGTGCACATCCGCCGACGCAATCAAAAGCTTGAAACCGACCCGGACTGCCCATCCAGCACATTATTTTGGCTCGGGCCGGGCATGGGCCCAGGTTAGAATTGACAACTCTAACCAATGCCCACTGCTGTTTTTAGTTTTATTTGATTTAATCCACCACCGTGGATTAAATAAAATAAAACTAAAAACAACGGGGCGGGCGGTGGTGACTGCGAGTAGTCGACGCGAAATTCAACAACTCGCGAGATGTCCTAGAATTTACTAGTTTACTAAATTCAACCCCTACTGTGAAAGTCTTTTTGTGACGTCTGCCCTTGCAAGTAAAAGACCAGTTAAATAAATCTTCTTGTGTCCTCAGAGTGTCTATTTTGAGTAAGCAGATGATGAAAGGACATTTTTTTACCCAACATGTTATCCGGCTCGAAGGACCAACAATGTCGGATAAATAAATATACTTTCATCATCTGCTTACTCAAGTAAGCCACTCTGAGGACACAAGACTATTTTTAACTGGTCTTTTACTTGCAAGGGCAGACTGGTAACAAAAAAAGGCTTTCATATGTACAAAGTTACATGCTTAGAACCTCATCAGTGAGAATCTGCACCAGACAGTGAGGCAGGAAGTGTTTTTATAATCCTTATCAGACAGAGTCAGGTCAAGACGACTTCAGCTTCACAGCTTACAGACTTGGAGCCATCCTTGGAGTTATCAGGTGCACCTGCAGCTTCCTCTCTGAGAGGAAAAACAACTCTAACTCCCACGCATTAATTTAACATTAGTTAGTGACAAACATCGACAAACCTTTACCTAAATTCCCTTGACAATGCTCCTCAGTTTTTCAAACTGATTTATTTTTAAATAGATTCCTATCGAAACTTTTTAGATTTTTAAATTTGAAAACTTTAGATGTGTGGATGAACACATTTTGTTATCTGCAGAGACAGGCTAACTTAGCTTAGCCTAGCTCTACTAAGGTGACTTTTGGCAGTTGGACTGTATTTAGCAGGCAGATAAAAGTTTAGTTACTTAAAGAGAAAATAAGTATTTTCTGCTACATGTCAAAATATTTCAGTGTTTTGTGAGTTTTTTTCTTCTTAGCATGTCTCAGCTGATATAAAGTGAACTTTCTAAAGACACTGTATCATGGAAATATTTTTACATATAGTTCCCGTGGGAGACTTTTATCATCTTTTACCTGTTATAGAGATTGCAGAGCTGCCATCTCCAGGCTCCATTTGACTCCAGACTGTTTTACACTTCCTGCACTCCTGTCTAACTCCTCCTTGCTCCCTGCGAAGCCGGATCCTTCAGTTTGAGTTTCTGTCCAGATTACACCATGATTCTCCCTGACAGCTGAAGCGTCAACCCCTTGGCACTGCTGGGAATTTATGATCAGGTTCAGGATGCATAGTAGCCCTGGGGAGTGAATACACAATCGGGACAGAGCAGGGACACGACTCCATTCATCTCAAAGACGTGCACGGTTATTTTGCAGAATGATAACGGCACATTATAATCTAACACCAAGCTTAATTTTAATTTATATTCTGCTTGTAAGTCAATTTATTTATCACCACTCCTCATTCATCATTGTCTGTCATTTTATTTTGCACTATGACTATTGTTTTACTAGAAATTGTGAAAGTAGTACTGACAGAGAATGATTTACTTAGTGGTTGTTTTTACAGTAGGACAGAAAAATCCATCTTGACAAAACACATACTCAAAATACCGTCTATGGAGAACGTACTGGCTTTATTTACATCCTCTTATACACAGTGTGTTGTGTGTGTCACTTCAGCAAACTATTAAAGTTTTATTGTTTTTCTTACATAAATAAATGCTATTCATTTCTCCTAAATGAATGAAATTAAATTAGTAAGAAAGAACATTGATGCTTTATAATACAAGTGGTAATCAGAAAATTCCACTTCAATTTGTATATGATTATATTATTGTTTTGATGAGAGGTAGATGATTTGGAAATGATGGGTGCAGTTTTTCCAACACGCTGTCAAATGATGGAAGCCCCCCCCCCCCCCCCCACGTCTCAGGTTGTCACAACAAAAATAATTAGATCTGATTGGGCAACACACCGCTCATGTTCATGTGTTTGTCGTTTTCAAAGTCTGTCCAGACTCGATTCACTCTGAGCTTTATTTGTACGACAAGAAAATAACCCAGAGATATAGATATGCTATGTTAAGCAGCTTCTCTCTTCCCAAAGCTGTTGCCTGATTTTGTTTTGTTTCATTACACAAGGTCATGCAACCAAACAAAAACAGGGATCTCCAACACCAAAGTTCATGCTCAATAGTTCAAGGTAAAAATCCAACAATGTTCAGCCAGGTCATCTGGATGGTTTCTTTTATTTTTACAGAGATGATTCATCTTTCATCCAAAGGACTTCTCCAGTCCGAGAGCCATAAACAAACTGGAGTCCCACAAACACCACACTCCCATAGTGGGAAAAAAAACAAAAAAAACAGTCTGCTGGTGATAAGATGGTTTCTGAGGCCCGCTCTCTCCCCTGTCAGCTCCTATGAGGCAGCCATGCCAAAATGGTTCAAAAAATGGTTCAAAAGTTCATGCTCAACAATCCAGGTCAAAATCCAACAATGTTCAGTCAGGTCATCTGGATGATTTATTTTCTTTTGCTGAGATGTTTCAAACTTCATCCAAAGAACTTCTTCAGTCCATGGAGCCACATACAAATTGGAGTCCCACAAACAACACACTCCCATAGTGAAAAACAGTTTGCTGGTGATAAGATGGTTTCTGGGGCACGCCCTCTCCTCCGTCAACTCCTCTGAGGCAGCCATGCCAAAATGGTTCCAAACATCAAAGTTCATGCTCAATAATTCAAGTACAAATCCAACAATGTTCAGTCAGGTCATCTGGGCAGTTTCTTCATTTTGCTGAGACGTTTCGTCCTTCATCCAAAGGACTTCTTTAGTCTGAGGAGCCACAAACAAACTGAAACTATAATATCACCAGCAAACTGTTTTTTTTTTTCCACTATGCGAGTGATGGTGCTTGTGGGACTCCAGTTTGCATGTGGCTCCTCGGACTGAAGAAGTCCTTTGGATGAAGGACGAAACGTCTCAGCAAAAAAAAACAATAAATAAATAAATAAAAATAGAAACCGTCCAGATGACCTGATTGAACATTGTAGGAATCTCCAACATTCTGGCCTGCAAAGTTTCTAACTGTGTCCCTTTCAGGTTGCAGCAGAAATGCCACAATCCATGAATCACCTCTTCAAAGGCTTGTATCGTTTTTATGGATCCAGAATGAATGAGGCATATTTCTATTTATAATGTCCTGTGAGTAAATTTCTCAAAGCTGATTTGACTCTGCAACTTCCAGTCTATTTTTGTCGGGAAGTCAATACTAATTGACTGATTTATATACATACTGACTGGCAGAGCAAAAATAAAATACACTGCTGAATCATCTGTTTTCCTCCTGTGAAAAGTACTCCATCATGAAGCCCAAGATATGTTAACTCAGAGCTATTGCTTTCCACAAAACAGTGGCAGATGTTACAGTTGATATTTTTATGGTCTGCAACTTGGAAGAAAGAATTTAAATGCTTGTAACATTGCCTATATTTTAAATGATTAGGTGTGTTGAATCATAGGCTAAAAACATGTTGTAACATTGGGATACTACTAGGTATTATACATGGACATGAGGCTAAAGTGTAACCAATTGAAGCCCCCCCAAAATTAAATAAAAGTAAAAACTTGCCTATAAAGATTCACTTTTTGGGAGTCATTAACTATTATTTAGTATCTTGTCATGTATGTTGGCAAATTTAGATTTTTTTTGGGGGGGGAGGGGGGGTCAAAATGTTAAATGAGTAAATATGTAAGTAGCAGTAAGAACACACAGGAATATACCACTGATACACAGCTCTAATATAATGTCAGATAAGAAAGACAACTACAATCTATACCTATTATGTTTTAAAATGCCACAAATACAACACAATACATAAGCAGCGCAGACAGAGTGTTAGTACAAGACATCCTATAAGTAAAAATAAATCTCTGGTCAGCCCTTAAGTTGCAAGGAAAAGTCAAAAAGAACACCTGAAACAGGCTTTGTTATCCCCCATTCTTAGATGCTGAGAAATACCACAATACAGCCATTTTGTCCAGATGCATTTGAGTCATGGCACCTGTCATGAAACATGAGTGACTCTTTAATAGCTTCTGAATGCCTCAATGTGTATTTATTCCCTACACAAAGTCAGAATGCAGCTAAGACCCATTCAAATCGAAGATGCTTGCTGCAGTGTGACAGCCAGTGTTGGATAGAGTTTCACGTTCTATATATAAGCCTGTTGACTGTGTCCTCGCTGCTCTATTTAAATGCCAGAGTTCCACTGTCAAAACAGAGAGAAGGACGCAACAATATGATGGACCTTTTTGAGACCAACTCTTATCTTTTCAATGATTTCTATTTGGAAGAAGGGGATCATGGACCACTACAACATATGGACATGGCGGGGGTGTCTCCTCTTTACAACAGCAACGACAGCCCGGTGTCGCCAGGCCAGGAGAATGTTCCGTCGGAGACAGGGGGGGAAAGCAGCGGCGAGGAGCATGTGCTTGCCCCTCCGGGTCTCCAGTCGCACTGCGACGGCCAATGCCTCATGTGGGCCTGTAAGATCTGTAAGAGAAAGTCAGCGCCAACGGATAGACGCAAGGCCGCAACGCTCCGGGAGAGGAGAAGGCTCAAGAAGATCAACGAGGCCTTCGATGCACTGAAGAAAAAGACCGTGGCTAATCCCAACCAGAGACTACCCAAGGTGGAGATCTTACGCAGTGCCATTAGCTACATTGAGAGGCTACAGGATTTGTTGCAGACGTTGGACGACCAAGAGAAAATTCAAAACGGATCTTCTTTTAACGCCAAAGAACACAATGTAAGCGTATATTGATGGTCTACAGAAGAAACCTACCCCAGTGTTCACATACACTGTAGGTGGGATTCAATTGTCATTCAAAAGACATCAGAATCTTTGCTCGCACTTCAATGCTCATATTAACAGATTACGTTTACTGGGTAGTTTTTACTGCTGGAAATAAGTTCTCATTTTTTATTAACACACGCTACTCCCTTTTTCTTATTGCTCTTTGTCCGTTTATGTTTTTTGTGGTGACTCTTTGAATTTGTGTGCCTTTGTGTTTAACAATATCTACAAATGAGCATAATGACTCGTTTTCTCATTCCAACAGGCGGCCAATGATGAGTATCAGTGGAAGAGATCCTCTGAGACCTGGCGAAGCTCTGCCGATCATTCCAGCGTAGCAATGAACCAGAGAGACGGTACATCTGTTAGCAATCTCTTGCGATCGATGATTAATGAATAAAATATAGCCACAACTGGCACTGTGATGGTCCTAATCCATTTCAGGCTTCGCAAAGCTGAGCGCAGTCACCGTTTGCAAGCACAATGAGATAAGCAGGGTGTCTTAGCCGAGTTTATTCAGGACTGTTTGAGTCCCTGGAAACGCCAAGCTAATCCATACTCTTTGTTTGAGCAAAAGTTGCGATGTTTGTGATCAGATCTTGGCAACTGTTGCAGTTGGATTGGGAAGCTGAGTCATTCAATGTGGCATAATGTTTGCCTTGTGGCTTCTTTGTACCTAGCGCCCTTGTAGTTGACGACATTTGAGTTATACTGGTCAGCGCTGATTTTAAGGGAATTAGTGTTGCACTTTTTTCTCTCTTCATTCTAATGTCACTTTCAAATTGTACGGGATCACTGGTTTATTTAGGAACAGGTTTGATATTTCAGTTTGTGACATTAGTTGTGCATTTTGTACGTCTGAGATGAAGATGTTTTAGTATGTTTTTCAATACGTGCAAAAGTATACGATTCTTCATTTTTCACTGAGCTCATTTCTAGTCAGTGGGGATCGTCTTTCTGAGTTTGCACAGTCTTCTGGAAGAAAACATAGACTTGGACGTCATCAACATGGTGTTGATGAAGTCCAATTAAATGCCAACTTACAGTTTTGACCATTGCACAAATGTTAATGGTACATATTAAAATTAAATTTAGGCTTAGTGTGTATGACTTATGTGTCAAACAAGCATTTTTTTTCTTTTCTTTCAGGAACCAGTGAGTCCTCTGCCTCCTCCAGCCTGTTGCATCTGTCTTCCATTGTAGACAGCATCACAACTGATGAGAAAATCAAGTTTCCCGCAGATGTCTCTGAAAGTTAAAATTGAAATTAACAACAATTTTATTAGTGAGATTATTATTTTTTTTTGTTACATTCAACAATTTTGGCTTTTTATTTGTGACAAGTCCTTCATGGACGGACAGGAAGAGCAACAAATTTGTATATATTTTATATTACATTCTTTTAAAAGGTATTTATTTTGTTTTCAAAAGTTACCAACTTCTTGAAAAAGACCGAACGTTTGTACATAAAGCTGACCAACAAATAAAGTACTCTGTTACGATTTTACACTTGTCAGAAACGGTTATGTTTTTCAAGGTCAAGCTGCCATTCTCATTCATTCCACTGTGGTTGTTACGAGAGCTCCGAACCATATTCGTTTATTAAACGCAGAGTTTATTTTACGTTTTTCAGCCTACGTCGCTTGAAAGGAACAGCAAACTTTCAAGATCTACCACTTCCACCAGCGTTCATGCCTATTAGGAGTCCATAAAAACGGTGCAAACTGCCGTCAAGCAGTTTGTTGCCAGAGCGCTCCTCTTTGTTCGCCAGCGGGCCTGATCCCGCAACAGTAATCCGAGTCGTCTCCAAACGCAGCGTGCCTCCACACTCCTCCCCCGTATCACATGTTGAGAACATGGACTTTTTGGCTGCGAGCACGAGTGCAAACCCCAGCGGGTTTATAAAGTTATTTAAGCCATTAGGTCTGAATTCATCACCACTTGCATCTTCATCACATGGCAAAACGTTTATGTACAAGCGTGTGGCACGATGCCAAGGCCTGAAAAATCCACAGGGTCCAGTTTGTCATATATGGATGTGAACGCGGGGGTGCTTGTAGCTGTTTGGTGTTTTGGTGTATGGGGGTTGCTCCGGTCTCTGTAAACATCACTCAAAGTGCTGGTTAGGACACTCAGACTGATGCAGAAAGATACAAAATGTCAGGCTCATAGATTTGTGGAAAATGAAAAAAAGCCACCGTAACATCAAACAGCTTGGTCAAAGATGAAAATATAGTGGGGAAAGGGGGGATCTTAAAGTTTAAACCATGCCACCCACCCCCTCTTTGGCAATTTAATGTGTTGAGTAACTGGTCAAGGATGTCAGAGGCGCCCTCCGAAATTTTATAGAGGGACTTTTTCTCTCGAAATGCTAAATTTTTTCGTGGTGATGGTTGATTTGGATCATTTTTAATAACCCGCATGGCTTGTTTTCTAGTCTAGTACTAGTTGGCATGTCTTTCCCTTCCGATTTTTCCCCCCTGCTCTTTCTTTGTGCAACCAAACTTGTTTTATTCTCAGCAATGTTTTTGCAATGAGTGCTCCACTGCATTCATAAAATAAATACCTTAATTTAAACAAACATATTAGCTTTCTTATGATGTTTAACTGAAAATCCAAGAAGGAAAAAAAAAACCTCTGCAAGCAGAACATATTAATAAAAAAACAAAACGCACTAAACACACTGGTTTCCTTATTGTCTCAGTTGTTCATGTGTTGTCTAAAAAGTGTTGAGGTTTGAAATGTTAAATTTTTTGGTCCTTTTAAGTGAAACAAGTCAATTTTCAAATCACTTTCCTGCTTTGGTTTGTTTCTGAGATGTATTTTTGTTTTGTGAAATTATTTAGTGTTTTCCAATTATTATTATTATTATTTTTAAGTTTTGTTGTCATTGTTTTTGAGCTTCATGGCCACCGTAGTTTTTTGCTCAACCATTCATTCTTAACACAGAACAAAACTGCTAAAATGCAGCTACTTCTTGACTAAATTTAGCATCAAACTGCTTCTTAACCATTCAGAAAACATGAAAAAATAGGAGGTATTGCATTTTTGCAAACATGCAGTGTGAAAGATGAGTGTTGAATGACAGCTGAAGTGTTGCTGAATGCAAGCTAAAAGTTAAAAATAGCAAAAAGCTAGCTAAAAAAAAAACAACTTTTTTTCAGCTGCTCACTTCTTCACAGCAAGAGTACTTGCATGAAGGATTTGGCAATTTGTTTTACACTGGATGCCCTTCCTGATGCAGCCTGCGCTTGAACCTGCAACCTCGGGATTCTAAGGCTGTAGTACTGGCCACCAAGCTACTGCAGCCACCAAGCTACTGCAGAAATACAAAGTAAAACTTGAAAACAACTGACTAAAGCGTAAGTAATGGGCTAATGCCTCAAAGTATCAGGTAAGTTGCCAAAAGGTCAAGGTAGCAAAAGACTAGCTGAAAGTAGCATGATTGCTAGCTAAGAGCACAAAAAGTTAAAAGGCTAGATAAAAGTGGCCAAAGCATAAAGGCTAAAAGCAGTGAAAGGCTTGCAAGAAGATAAAGGTAAACAAATGGTTGCTAACAGCTAAATATACCAGGAAAGTAGCCAAATGTATTAGAATAATAAGGACAAATTAAAAGTAGCAAAAGTCTAGACAAGAGCTAAAAGTAGCATAAGATGACCAAAATAAAGCAAATGTGCTACAGGTTTAAAAAAGAACAATGTTTTCTGAAAGAAAAAAATATCTCAATGGATTTTATGGGGGAAATATTTATAAATACAGTTAAATACTTACATTTTTTTTTTTTTTTTACAAAAAACAAAAGACATAGCACCATCCTTTGAATAAGCTGCATGTTTTGATATGTGAATGGCTAAAATAGCAAAAAGTAAAAAGAGTTAGAACGCAAAAAAATATGCTAAACATATATAAATAAAATCTGGGAAACAAAAGAGTGTATCGTCAGCATAAGCGATCACACATTATTGACAGATTTTTTTTTTTTTTCCATTGGGGAAAAAAAAAAACTCTACACAGTATAATTTTATTTTCTTTAGAATGTATTTGCTGAGTATTTGTTTTCTCACTTGGTGTGTTTTATTAAAGACTATAAACTCTTCCTGCGTGGCAGAGATTTGTTAAAATGACAAAACATCGAATAGTCCATAAGCAGATTATCTTAATGCAATTTTTATTTCTGCAGAAACCAAACAGGAACCTGCCAGCTCCAAACATTAATGTGATTTTAATGAGTTCCTGCTCACTCAGCATGTTGCAGTTTTTGTGTTATATTTTCTACAATAAAACAATTTTTCTGCATTCTTAATTTAGGAGACTTTTCTGATGAATCATTGTTCTTATCTACCAAATATGCGTCCCCTCGCCAGGAAACAGCCCCCACCTTCCACACACTCTGCCTGTGTCTCGTTTGACCTTGCAGGGATTTGTGTTGCTGATGACACCACATAATTCTCATTTGGCTGTGAGGAGGGTCAGTGTTTTAAAAGTCAGAGCTGACGAAAGGCGGAACGTTGCACGGAGGGGGATCAAACCGGACGCTGAACGCTCCGATTTACCCAGACTTTCCTCCAGGATCCTGCCTTAAGGAGCGTGCAGAGTTGCAGGGCTGGCAGCACACTTCTTTCTGCTCATTGCCAAACAAATGGTGTTGCCACTCAAAACCCCCCCCCCCCCCCTTTTGTTTCATTTGTTTTTGTGGGGAATGTGAAATGGATTTTATATAGATGGGTAGAACGTATTGCACTTGAAGGATTGTTTTATTCCATATATATATATATATATATATATATATATATATATATATATTACATTTACTCAAAATGTCCCATGTCATCAGCCAGTTAAAGTGAATAAGTTTGTTATTGCCTGCTGACAAAAGGTGAAGGGGGAAAATTATGTTTTTGCTTGGGTCTGTTAGCAAAATATCTCATGAACCACTGGATATATTTTAATGAAAGTTTCAGGGAATAATCACTGAGTGAGCCCGTACAAGTGTTTAACTTTTGGAGATGATCCAATTCAAGATGTCCACCTCAGACAACTGATAATTAAAAAAAAAAAAAAACCCATAAAGATGGCTGTAAATTGAAAATAAATAAATAAATAAAGACATTGTGATAACATTTGTTGCTGTAGCTGAGTCGTTGTCAACACATACACCAAGCGTTACTAATTCTTTGAGATATTAGCATAAACCTTTATCGTAACCTTTTGGAGTTGGTCTGTTAGCAAAATATATCATGAACCACGGAATGGGTTTTAATAAAATTCATAGAAAACTTTCAGTAGATGTTTACCTACAACTTATTAATGTTTGGGGTTCAATCTAATTCAATGTGACCGCCACAACAACACTGTTAAACACAAAACAGCTCTAACTAAGTCACATATGATCAAATTGAGCTATATTTGAGCTGAGAGTTGTTCAAAACACATAATCGTAATTTTTTTTTAACGTTGCCAATTAAAATTATTGCAACATTTGAACAAAAACGACTACAACTCATTTTTCAGCTTAAAATGAACTTAAAGATGTGCAAGCCTTCAAGGAAATCAAGGCCTTTAATCATTATAGATTTCTAACTGGGTTTACATTCATAAGTGGACGTTTTTTCTGCAAAGATAAATAAATAGATAAATAAAGATTGAATGAAAAGAAAAAAAAGGATATATGTGGTGCAGGACCATTTTAAATTAAAGCATGAGGCTGTTTGGAAGAAATAAGGTTTTCAGACATGAGGGAGGTGCTGTGCACATAAAAGCTCACCTCCTGCCCCTCACTTAACTCCGTCTCTGACCCCTGAGAACAACAGAAAAGCAGCTCGGAAGGGCTCCCGGGAGACCAGAGCCCTTCTCCGCTCTGTGCGCAATCGCGGCGCGCTTTTGCGCCATGTGCTGCGCCAATCAGCCCCCGGAGCGCGCGCTTTTCTCATTTTCACCGACGCTGTTCTTCTCTCAGGCCCGAGCAGGCTTTGATCCCGGGCGCGGATCCGAGCTTCAGTCCGGCCGATGTCTTCTTCAGCTGTGCACCCCCCCCCACGCCCACGCCCCTCACCCCTCCAGCCACCAAACTAAACTGCACCGGGGCAATTCAGACGCAGCAGCTCCTGCATGTTTTCTTAGGTGCAGGACGTTCCCAGAGAAGAGGGCACACCAAACGTTTTGACACATTGTGAGAAAATATCCGCATTGTATACTCGCGAGCTGTCACCAACACAATTACCTTGGTGGGGTGCATGCAGTTTAGCCTGCTCATTTCTGCAAAAATATATACAAATAAGGAAACTCTGCTTATATGGTATACATTGATGCTATATATATATGTGTGTGTGTTTTAGTTTGTGTAAATATGCCTCACCTTTTAGTAATTTAAAAAATGTTTGAACTAAAATGGAATTGAATAAAATAAACTTATGTACAGTATAGTAAAGAAAAATATGTATTTAATCAATAAACATATAAAAAAAAAGTAATAAAACTGTACTTTCCTATACAATTAATGATGATAAGGAACTGACACTCCAATGATAAGTTGTAATATTGTAAATTTCTCTAGCACTTAATTAAAATAGCTCACCAACAGGTGTTCTCTAAGATTTTCCCACCAAATAGCAAATATGAAGACCAATTTAATAGTCATGCTTTTTAATATAGCACCAGAATCTACAAACAAAAGTTACTAGTGTAAAAATACATATTTTACTCCTCTTATTTGCTTTAGTCGCAACAAAACTAAACTGAGTTGTTCTCGCCACAGCTCTGCAGTGTTCACTTGTCAAAGCCCTTAAACCCCTCGTCATCCGCTGGAATTAAACCAGTTGCACCGTCCCGACCATCTGTTGGAGCTTGATTTGTGTCAATAACTTGTAATGGGTCAAATTTGCGTGGAGTTAAGGTGCACGTCGTTTGCCTCATTGCTGTTTTGATGAGCTCAGACAAACAGGGATGGCTTCGCAGCACCTTAAACGACTAACCCGGTCGTTTTGGAGAGGGGGTTTTACTGCTGTTCTGTGAATCTGCGGGGCTTGAAATGTTACACCTTCCTTTGCAGCTGGGCTGCATCTGCAACGCTGTTGTCTCCAACATAAAAACTGGCCTGCGTGCTCTTCCTTTGCTGCCCGCTTTGACTGTAACGAGTGTCTGTGGCGTTTCTGACTTCATGCTCTGAGGCAGGACACGAAGGTTCTGAAACCGCCACGAACCGATGTGTGCAGCGGGGCCTTGCAAAAGAAGGAGCCAGAGAAAATTAGTTGGAAAACACCAATAAGTGCAGATGTGGGAAACTCTGCAGGGTACTGGGGGGTGTGTGAGGAGGGTAAGGATGGGGCAGGGAGGGAACTGAACTAACTCCAGCCTGCCTTCTGGCCGGGCCAATGGGCCATGGTAATTAGATCTGGCCAATGTAGGCCCTGGGCTTTAGCCAGGGGGCATAAAAGGGGGGCCTGGGGCAACAGACCCCTCATATCACTCAGAGGTCTCCTCTCTTTCACCCAGCACCTTTACCCTCTCTCCTCTTATTGCTCCTGACCATTCAGACGCCTTTCGTTACCAAGCCATGGACGTCTTCTCACCATCGCAGCTCTACTTTGACCGAGCGTGCGCCTCCTCTCCGGACAGCTTGGAATTCGGTTCCGGCATGGAGCTCGCCGGTTCCGAAGAAGACGAGCACGTCAGGGTTCCTGGAGCCCCTCACCAGCCGGGCCACTGCCTCCAGTGGGCCTGCAAGGCCTGCAAGCGCAAGTCCAGCTTCGTGGACCGCAGGCGGGCTGCCACCATGCGCGAGCGCCGGCGGCTGAAGAAGGTCAACCACGCCTTCGAGGCTCTGCGGCGCTGCACCTCGGCCAACCCGAGCCAGCGCCTGCCCAAAGTGGAGATCCTGCGCAACGCCATCCAGTACATCGAGAGCCTGCAAGAGCTGCTGCGAGAGCAGGTGGAGAACTTTTACGGCCTACCTGGGGAGAGCGGCTCCGAACCGGGGAGCCCGCTGTCCAGCTGCTCTGACGGCATGGTAAGACCACTAATCCACATGTTCATGCCGACATCTGCTTCATCAGAGGCCTGCAGGTGCATGCTGGGGCTGCGGAGCCAAAACTCGATCAGTTAAATAAAGGACCGCTGCCTGACAGCTGCAGAAGGCTGTTCTATTTCATGCATATTACACTTTCCCATAATTCATCAATGCAACTACCTATTTAGTAGTTTTTATTTACATATTATTATATAACCTCATTTGTTTTATTTAATTTAATCGGAAGGTGACCATATTTCAGATAATACCAAATATAGTTATGGATTGACTTTATGCCTTTCCCACCACTGAACACTTTATAGCCTCAATAAACTAAACTAAATCCACCTCACTGAAGCCAGGCAGGAACTAAAAACAAAACCAAAAAAAAAAAAAAACGGGGCACTCTTTCCTGCATTCCATCCTGACTGCATGTTCGGCACCGCTGCCAGGATTTTCTGCAGATTTACTCGGAGAAAGTGTCATCTTGCACAAACCGGTGTTGCTTCCACTGATACAATCGATTCGCCACAGTTGGATGGAGGGGTGTGTGTGGTGGTGGTGGGGGGGGGGGGGGGGGCACACACGGCCCACTTTGACTTTCAGATGGATGTGAAATAAAGAAGCCAATAACTTAGGAACTCAGAGATTTATTCGCCTGTCCAGAACATCATGAAAGGATTTATTTTTTTTTTGTACGTTTTTCTGTCTTTTAGCTAATATTTGTGTGAACGGCCATAAAACACGGCTTTGTGTCTAGTTGTTACAGTTCAAGGGTAAATTTGATTTCTCATGTTTTTCCAGGGTGGAAGCACCAGCCCAGTGTGGCAACAGATGAATGCAAACTATAATAACAACTATTCCTACTCAAAGCACGGTAAGCGCTTCTATTCGAAAAACAACACCAATTTTTTTGTCCAAAATGTGTTTTTAAGGACATTTAACAATTCTTAAAGCTTTCACATATAAATCTGAAAATGAATTAAATAATGTCAAAATGACCATCTATTATTGTTGTTTCTCACCTTTTCCTCCCTTTTATTTTTTTTATAGTCAACTTATGGCTCAAACTAATGTTTTATAACAATTTATTGTCTTTGGCAGAGAGTATGGACGACAAAGCAGTCGGCACTTCCAGCTTGGAGTGCCTGTCCAGCATCGTGGACCGCCTGTCCTCAGTGGAGTCCAGTGGAGCGGCTGCTCTGAGGGACATGGCCACCTTCTCCCCGGGCAGCTCTGACTCTCAGCCTTGCACACCAGAGAGCCCGGGAACCCGACCCGTGTACCACGTCCTGTAAAGAGAAAGCCTCATCTGAGGAGGATATGTTGCCACGGGCAACAGCTCGCTGTCATCAGCTGTTTGGTCTTTTGCAACAACATGACGAGAACCAATTTGTGCAAAGCGGACGAGGGCTCAGCAGAATCCGAGGACCCGTCTCCACCATCTTCAACGTTGTACATGAGATTGTAAATATGTAATATAAAGCCCATTTATTCTACACATCCTTTTATACCCAATAAGACGTATTTAATGTAAGGCTGCATTATTCAAAAATGAAGATATTTAAACCACGCTGTAACTTTGAACACGCCGCGTCTTCTTGTTTTTAAAAAGCTTTTCAAACGAGTTTGCTTTAATAATTCACGTAATGACGTCTTTTTTTTTTTCATTTTCATTTGAACAGAATCGAGATTAAAATAGATTATCTCACAAGAAAAACTGTTTATTTTTGTCACGACTGAGTCAGCTTTAGAGCAGCCTAAAGTTGTAGTGAAATTACCATATTTTTTGGACTATAAGGCACACTTAAAAGCCTTTAATTTTTCTTAAAAATCAACAGTGAGCGTTATGTATTAATTCTGGTTGTGCTCACTGACCTCGAACCGATTTTATGTGGTACACGGCGCTCAAAAATCTATCTAAATGAACTTATTTCACTTAATGCGCCTTATAATCCGGTGCGCCTTATAGTCGGAAAATTACGGTAACTGAAATACTAATTTAAGACTCGTTCATTTGCATATTAATGATTTTGTGTCTCTTGAAAGAAAAAGAGCAGATTATTTATTTTGTCAGATTTGCCCTGGATTATCTCCGTTGTCAACAAACTAAAAGGATCACACTCAACTCCATGACTTTAAATCATACTGCATTTTTTTTTACTTTGCTCACTGATTAGAGTTAAAACAGATCAAATCAAATGAAAACGATAAAGCGATTATTGAGTTTCTTCTTTGTTTGACGTGTTGCTGTGGTTTTTTTTTTTTTTGGGGGGGGGGGGGGGAGCGAGGCGTCACTGTGTGTACCTGTTTGTTGCTTCCGACCAAATGTGAGCCATCATTAACACCTTTGATTGTCCCACCACTAGTGTGGAAAACAGATGGCCTCTAATGGGACTTATTGTGTGTCTGAGGAGGAGGGGGGCTACGCATGTCGTGCTTTTGATCATGCTGTGAAAAAGCTGTATTTTTATTTTTTAATAACTTCTTGACCACTGGGATGTTGGAAATAAAACATGCTTTTTATTAAATAATTTTCATTCCACTTCATTTATTTACTTGTAAGTTTAATATTGAATCAGTCCAATGACTATAAAATGCAATGCGCTGTAAAATATGCATCTACGGAGATGATGCAATGGTAAACATGCAATAGAAATGAAAAAAAAATAACGTAAAGTTTGCAACAAGATTAGAAAAATAAACAAGGGCACACATTTTATCCATAACTTCTGGCTCTAGTTTGCCTAATCAAATGCTTTTGGGCAACTATTTATTCCCTTGGATAGTTAATTTATTTTTGCTTTAACTCAGCAAATGTTTTAAAGTAGAGACCAGTCAACCAATTACTACTTTACTGACCAGAAATACACCAGGGATTTTGATTGTGAATGACCAACTGAGTCAAAACACAAGTTTCAAGTGATTTAAAACAGAAAAATAAAGAGTATGCG